ACGTCATCGACATATCTCTCTGTATATGTCAGTATTCGTTGCTGCTCTCGTATTCACAACGCAGTAATCAATGGCTTCAGCGATATACGAAATCTGAGATTTAAATAGGCAGTGATCCTGACCACCTGCTAAATTGTATTATTTGAAGCAATCGGTACCTCAATTTCTTTTAAAATATCTCTTAACCTATAAACAGACATTGATGTACGATAAGGATATGCTTTTTCTCTACGGATATCCTTGGCCTCATGCTCAATCTTTGCCTAGCTCAAATCATCATAAGCAACTTGGCGGTTTCAGTGTCTAATAAAATTAACTGAAAATTGTGTACAGTCAAAGTGACAAAAAATAAGGCGCTGCCATTCTGTATTTACCGCAGTGAAATTATAATTCTCTACTGTGGACGTATTTTATCCAATTCTTTTCAGTTATACTAGCCCTACATAAGTCATCATTCATATCTCAGTTTTTAGAAATCCCGGTTTTCAGACAACATTGCTTTTCTGCTAATGACTGACAGTTTTTAAATGAAAACGTGTTTTTTTATGACGTCTACTTCGTGAGCATCATGTGACGTTTAGGGCGCGGCATTGTTGCGGTCCAGAAAGCAGAGGATTTTTTTACTATTTCGTTAATGTTTTCTAAGTTTCGTCAATCGCTGCACACTTCTATATTATGAGATTTGTTTGCGTAAACCTTTGGGCATTCATGATTACTAAGACATTTGTGATGTCACCCTCGTTTCAAAGTTTTCAAAAAATTTGACGGATGCTTCTTGACAACTGTTTTTAAAGAAAGAGGTGTTTGGGTGAAAAGGCGAAAGCCCAAAGTGTTGGAATACGCCCTCAGATCATTATCTAAATCATGCGTTCAATATCGAAATCTACCAAATATTTCAAAAGCAGATTTTGAATAGAAGGTAGCACGCATCTAAATCATTGTTTGTTTAGTCTAAAACAATTTAAATTTTCGAAGACTGAGGCATCTTGGCATAAGCGGGCTTATAGGGAAATATCTGTAGATTTATTAAGTCTGCTTTTATTTTGTTGCGTATTAAACCGACTATCTGCCGAAACAGACGCATTCGATTCAGTGAACAATACTTAAAATTTCGTCTTGTGGCGGGTGACATAGGTTTTGTGATCCGATGCTGCCCCCAGCCCGCTAGTGATGAAGCTGTCAGTAATTTCTAAAAATTGTCGGTAATGTTAAAAGGACTGTCAATATTAGCGGCAAATCGATTAGTACGATATGCGCGCATACATTTCCGAACACAACAAAAGCATGATGACAATACCGGTAACGAAAATAGATTGAGGGTCAAATCCCCCAGCTAGATCTTCAGCAGTTCGAAAGGGCACAGGTAGATATCAAAACAGTTTGCATTATTATACTAGTCTGTATAAAAGCAACCACGACAAGTTGTACGTTTTACTTGTTCAAATAACACATCGGATCAACGATGCAAAACGTAAGACTACATACAAACGTATCCTAATGGCCTACGTGCAAATGTTTGACGTTATTTACACCCGTGAGATAATTGGTCAGGACACTTATAATAATGCAAATCTCTCACATAGCGTAAAACTTATGTTTTAAGCATATGAGGGTGTTTTTATTCCAATACCCCAAGAGATTGAAATAGACGCACACCCAGAAAGTCTGCAGAGGTGTTGTAGCGGCTCTTGGGCAAGAACCGCGCCCTGTAAAAGTGGACTCTCGCCTTATTTTGGGCGTAACCAAGAAGTGCAAACATGACCAAAGCAATGGGCAGTGGTTGTCGACAGCCAAACGCCGCCCCTAGATGATAGTTGTTTAGATGGGGCGACGATGGTTGTCACCGCGACAACAATCTTATGCACGCCGTTCAGGTGGCGAAAACTAGGGGAGAACAATGAAATGACTTCCTGCACTGCACATCTCATCTCCGGCGTTGAAAATATGTCTACCTCTGAGGCGACAGACTTGCCGAATCCACATGCTATTCTATGTAAACGTACCAAAAACGTCGTTGTTGGCGCCAAACGGTACCTGACTAGGTGTAGGACAAAAAACTGAAAACTGCCTCTTCCTTTACAGGAGCGCCGAGTATTTCCAGGTGCAACACATTTCAATGCAGCTGGAAACGATATTTTGTCGGCATATTAACTGCTGGCACATGTTATCTGGACGAGACGGTATTGTCTGGACCTTTTGTGACTCAGAACATTTGTTATCCACGTGTCTATAGTTTTGCATGTGATTAAATATAAATTTGAGACCTTGCTAAAACACGGATTTTTGACTTCGAGAACTACCCTTGTAAATGGGTGCATGGTGCAACTTAATTCATCCCTTTTGGGGCAAAAAATGTTGACGGAATTCCTGTTAGACTTGTAGTTTTCTCTGTGATTAGTCTAGTTATCTTCCATTTTCCAAAGAAGACAGCCTATTTTTTGGATAAATTGCAGGTCAGATGTGCAAAATGGTTACATGTTTCAGTGGCTTTGATTGAAAACTAAGGAAACAACAGCGGTCACCGGACTTTTTGAATACCCGATTGCAAGTAAATGTGGTTAAGCTTTTTTATTTACTTATGCTTGCGATCACTATGCTAATGCCTCTTATATTCAGAAAAAACACAAAAGCATACATGCTGATTTTCAGAAGTAATTTGTATATTCGCATTTCACGCGAGAATTTTTTTTGCACGCTTGAAAACTGTATGGCCAGTTTTTCGCACGGTTTTACCACACAGATGATATATGGGCAACCGAGAGGGAAGACGAGTTTAGTTTTCCATGGATTTACCTATGCTTTCTCACAGATTGCCTCCCAACGTTTTTGTTAACTAAGTAGTTGCAGATGTCGAATTTGTTTTGTATCGGCGCTTTGCAAAACATCTTTAGCTGAGCGCTGAAATCAAACAACCGGTAGAAATGGATATAAAAAACTGTTTCTAACAGTATTTCGGTACCTCCGCAAGAAGTCAAGCTGTCCGCCCTATAATCAGAAGAGATTAATAAAATACCCAACAAGTTAAACAGGATAGTCCCGTGTTTTACTTTTAGTAGATGCAACGACAGTTATGAGGGGACTGAATAGTAGTCGGTTTTTGTCGCGTCAATGCACCTGCTAAATATTCATGCCAAAGGTTTTGGTTGTCTCAGCTTGATTAACAATTAACAGAAAAGTACTGACAAGCTAAAAGTTACTGCAGAATTTCATCGTTTATGAAGCTCCAAAATGCTCCTTCTAGAAACAGAATGCCCTACTGACACACTTAGTCTAAAGAAGTATTGAAGTTGCATCTGCCAATTAAAGGAGACTTTGGTAATCTGAAATCCTTTGTTTAAATTCCAGGGTAACTCTAAAGTCTTTTTCTGCCCTTAAATTTCAAATAGGCACAACAATAATCGCGATTGTTGTCTTCACACAAGCGACATCTGTCCTAAAATTATGGTTGTCTTATGAAACACTGTCGCTATTGTATCGATAATTAAAATTGAAAATTAGTTTCTTCCAGGCAAAGCAAATTTTAAAGCTACAAAATGAGTAATTTAAATTTTAGTGTCATATAAAACAAGAATCAGATTGGCAAAGTTGAGATATCCGGGACCAAACAACCACACCGGACTTAAGAAGGCAGCACGGAGATAGCCCGACGCTGAGTCTACTCGGTGAGGAAAAAGAACAATCGCCAGACTGACCGCTCGACTGAAGTCCAATCAGTTCCCCTTGACGGAGTGGTGACTCACAAAGCACACAGGAAAAACGCCCGTCAACCATCTACCGAGAGGCTGAGGCAGCGAGAGGAGAGAAAAATCGATCAACATGAGGCCGGCCAACACAACTGCCACTTTAAATTAAATTTTTAATCGATAAATTTCATTTTATGCTTTGACAGTGAAGAGCCGACCCAGCTCTTTGAAACGTCAGCACTTAAATAAACCTCTTCCGGAGAGCCTGTCTCATTGCTCATTTTTGTATTTTTGCGGATCGCATAAGAAAAAAGATGGTGATACATGTTTCAACTGTCCAACTTATTTCGAAAAAGGGCAATAATTTAGCAAAAGTTGACCGAGACCTTGAAAGTGAACTTTTGCAAGACGCTGTATACCCCCCAGGGAATCTGCCGGAAAATTGTACGTATATCTTACTTTTGCCGAAGAAGGTGTTTAGAAAAATTTCAGACTATAAGGGATATGGGAATAGCTCATTTTGCCCCTAAAGATCTGAAAGTTCCAGTGTCGTTTACATTTCACGCGTTTGCTTGCCTACATGGTGAGCTACAGTGAAATAGAGAAAATTATCGCCATGAATTCAAAATTTGCTAAGCGAAAAATATAGGAAAAATCACAAATTTAGGCCATTAAAGTTTACAAGGCTGGATTAGCATACTCTTTTGAACCCATGGCTTCTGCTCCTTCGAGAGGTAGTTTGCTAAAATGTCCCATGACACATCAGTTAAAGCACTTCTTACCAATGCGCTAGCAGGAAAGTTAAATCAGAATTCTAAAACTACTGTAAAACTGGCAGTTTAACGTTTGAAAACCTATCAAAATGGAGTGTTGGTATACCATTGACAAACTGAATTCCCTCATTTTTTCATAAAAACAGCGTTAATTTTTGAAAAGTAGCAAAACCAAGAAACTAAGCGCACAGGACAGGCCGGACTATCATACTTAATATTTAGTGCAGAATGCGATGGAGCAATTGAATGGGAGGTTCGACCTTTGCCTATTCTAAGCATATATATCAGGTGTTACCGATAAAGACAATGGAGACCGGAATAGCCATTTCTGACTTTTTAGTCGTCATCAGCCAGTAATACACAACTCAAGTGTTAGTTTGAGCCCTAAGGCATATACAGACCGGAGGCAACCATCAGGCGTCAGCTGATGAAACCAAAAGACCCACTGCCACGGCAAGAAACGTCTGGAGTCGTTTATCGGATCTGGTACAGTTGCGGACAAAGCAACTACGGCGGAGAAACCGGAAGACAACTACAAACGCGAATGGCCGAACACGCTGCAGCGGTGCGGAGAAATGACGTCGGCTCTCAAGTTGCGGCTCATTCGACCGGTTCCGGCCACAAATTCAAATTTGACCAGGCCGAAATTCTCGCAAGAAGTGACAACTGCGTGAGGCGGGAGCTGCTTGAGTCATGGTTTACTGGCCCCCAGTCCATTGACAAGTGCAATGATCTTCCCATTCAATACACCGTGCTGAGACTTCGTCTAGGCGGAGTAATTGGCTACGCGGGGAGCGCACAGGTGATTCTCCTCCCAGCACCCGGGTCAGCGCGTCAGATGGTCGAGCAATCATCACACCAACATCCAACTCACGTGATGAAATTGCAGCAAATAACGGCGCGAATATCGGCCATCACACCAAGGGCAACGATCCCAGATGAAAGGGAGGGGGCCGTGAATATTCATAGGTATGCGGTAGCATAATAAGGAGTGCTGTGCACAGGACCTCCCAGACCCTGAAGATGGGTAGACGAATAAACTACCCTGAACGTCGGATCTCAAAAAAACCCTCCCGGTGAACGCCCCCTCTTCTTTTGATATGCCACCTGGGAATCGGATTTTCACTACTATACTGCGGAATTTCCATAATGTATTTCACTAAGTCATTTCGGGTGTACAAAAAATCTACGAGGGAGGAAAAAAGAGAGCAGCAGCTACCCTTCTTTGATTTTCCTACCAAAAAAAGATAAGAGAACAGTTTTGACGAAGATGACAAAAACATGCAACTCATCAGTCTTCATGGTGGCCATCCGGTGACTTGCAAACTAAGTTCTATAAAAGCGCTTTCAAACGGATGCAGATATACTACGGAAACCTTAAAAAAACCGTGAGGCCCAGTTATGCGAAAGGAATTTCCGAAGGCACTACTAAGCCGATGTCTGAGTGTTCGCCTACGGAGGACTTCAATGGAAATAACCCTGATGGCAAAGCATGGTCAGACGTACAAAAAGTATATTTCAGACACAGCTAGGCCCGCTTCAGCACAGTGAGGCATCGAAATAACCCGCTGTCCCAAAGGCAACATTTGCAGCAGGGTCACGCAAATCGAGTATTGATTAACTTGATTTTCAAACTGTTCATGTAACTAGGCCGGTCAAGTCGAATGCGTGCTCAGACTGCGTACAAACGAATATAAGCCGGCTTTGAGACGGGGGCGGCAAATTATGCAGGATTGTCCACAAATACGAAACCGATCACATAATTCAACTCGCGGCCACCCGAGAGAGCCGCCTACGATTAAAGTCTGGGCATCGAATACGAACTTATCCAATTAATTTATTGATTTGGAGCCGGCATACAGAGCCCTGAACACACATTACGACCGTACAAGTGATCGCGGATTGTCAAATCTACCTATAACCGTCACCGTTTTGACACCGCTACTAGCACTGACAGGCAAAGTCCGCACCTAGAAAAAGTAAAGAAATGCTTTTTGTGCTCTACCGGCTTTCCTCCTATCCGTAGATGCAACAGGAGTTTGTACATCTGCATCCACCTTGAATGAGATAAACAGCTTAATAGACAATGACCGGATTGACGTATTTTACTTGTCTAAGTTGACGCACTGGAATTAATTGGCACAGTTAGACCAGACAATGAACATCCGGAGTGTTATTTTCATTGGAATGAGGTACTCCCACAGTGACCTATGACTAAGCGATACCATTTGTTTGAAATACAAATTGTCTGAAAAAGCGATGTCGTTGACAGTAAGACATTCTTATTATAACTAAGGTTACTTATCCTATTTCGCGTTCCAATTTATCGTCGTCTTATCTGAAGGCAAACGTTCTGAGAGTATAGTCAGCGAATAAGTGCACCTTTCAGTTAACCGGACTCAGTGCCTCAACTTCAGAAATTACTCGTTATTTTGTGAATGATTGTGTTATGTGACATAGAAATTAATTTGGATACCAATCATTAACCTTAAATATTTACCGTTGTATGCATAGGGACCTCAGCATTTGATAAAATGGGTGAGCGAAAGTCAAATAAATGTGCTATATTTTGGTCCCCACCAGATGAGACTAATATATGAACTTGTAGAGCACGTTAAGCTAATAAGTGCAATCGTGTGAGATTCGAGTTCATGGGAAAAAAAGAAAAAGGAAATCTAAAAAGTTGGATGCTAGTAAAAGACGAAATGCAGAAACTTAACCAAAAACACCGCATAATGCAACACTAGAATAAGTTCATTATGCTAAATTAATTTTGGACCTAGATACCGAAAAATTTAAAGAGCTTGTCTGCACCTGCCATACACGACCTGGGTAATCCCACACCAGATATTCCAGGAAACCTCATTTCGCAGCCGCATCTGCGGCAAACAAGTCCCAGCCTAACCCCTAACTCATACCTCAATCCCTACCCCCAACCGCTGACCCCTAACCTTAATCACTAACCCATAGTCCCCACCCCTAACGCAAACCCACAACTCTGACCTTTAGCCTCTACCCCCTAACCTCGACCCTTAAACCCCTAACAGGTACGGCTACGAAATAGCATCTTGCCCTTTTTTCAATCAGTGAGTATAATCCTTCCTGCCGAAAGAAAATGTATTTGCCGTCGGCGCTCCTAGGATCCCATCGCCGTACTATCCTCCTTGCTTTGGCATGTGCTGTGTCTCCGGATTGTCCAGCCGAAGGACGTGTCACGATTAAAATGTGTATCTTATTTTCATACCTGATAAATATCGCGTTCTGTCAATCACCTGGCCCAATCGCCAGTCAGTCGACGCTCTTAAAACCGGTCAAAAATTCATGCAGTTCACCCAATTAGCTTATAATTAGTTGTAACTTACGGTAGTCAACTGTCGACTTAACCGCTACGAAATCGAAAAAGATTATTTCGATTCTCAGTGCAAATTATAAATTTCATCTGCAGAGCAATTAGTCTAATGACGATCGGCGGAAACTCTTTGCTGCGAACAGCTGCATTTGGACGATAAGCTTGACTTTACCAACATGCATCTTAGTATGACCCCCACATTATCCTCACGTATATAAAACAAGGCCACTGTTGAGGTTTCCCGGAATATCTCGAGTGGGATCGACCAGGTCGAATAGGACAAGCGCGGATGACCTCTTTAGATTTTTCGATAACCAGGTCCAAAATTAACTGTATCATAAGTAACTCGTAGGCGTGATTTCAAAGGCGATGTCCCGATGGCGAGACGTTTGTCACCGTTAGGAAGAACATACTGCGGAATCTCCATCATTTCGGATGTAAATAAAATTCACGAGGGACGAAGAAAAGGAGCAGCAGCTACCCTTCTTCCAGTTGCTTTCCAAAAGACGACCAGAAAAGTGTTTGGACGAAGGTGACGTAAACATGCAACTTCTCAGTTTTCATAGTGGTCATCCGGTGGTCTGCAAACAAAGTTCTATGAAAGCACTTTTCAAACGGATGCAGATTTACTACAGAAACCTAAGAATCACGTGAGGCCTAGTTATGCGAAAGGACTATCTGAAGGCACTACTAGGCCGATGTCTGTGTGTTCGCCTCCGAAGGATGTCAGTGGGAACATCCCTAATGGTAAAGTATGCTCCGACATACAAAAAACATATTTCAGGGACAGCTGGGCCACTGTAGCACAATCAGGCATCGAAATAACCCGCTGGCCCAAAGGCACGATTTGCAGCAAGGACACGCAAATCGAGTAGTGATTAATTTGATATTCAAACTGTTCATTTAGCTAGGCCGGTCAAGCCGAATGCGTGCTCAGACTGCGCACAAACGAATATAAGCCGGCTGTGCGACGGGGGACGGACAATTATCCATAATTGTCCACAACTACTTAACCGATCACGAAACTCAACTCGCAGCCATCCTAGATAGTCGTTTACGATTAAATACTGGACATCGAATGCGAAATCCTTTAATTAATTTATCGATTTAGAGCCGGCATACAGAGACCTGAGCATATATTACGACTGTACCAGTGGTCATGGACACTGACGGGAAACATCCGCACGATTGTAATAGCTTAGAAAAGTAAAGAAATGCCTTCTGTTCTCGACCGGTTTTCCTCCTCCACATAGGGGCATCAGAAATTCGAATATCTGCCTCCACCTTGAATTGGATACACAGCTCAATAGGCAATGACCCGATTGACGTTTTTACTTGTCTAATTTGACGCACTGAAATTTATTAGTACAGTTAGACCAGATAATGAACATATGGAATAAGGCATTCCCACAGTGACCTCTGACTTAGCGAAATCATTTATATGAAATACAAATTATCTAAAACATATATAATGTCGTTGACAGTATGACATTGTGATTATAACTAAGAGTACTTATCCTATTTCGCGCTCCAATTTATCGTCGTCTTGTCTAAGCACAAACTTTCTGAGAGTACAGTCGGCAAATAAGTAAAGTTTTTTGATTAACAGGACTCAATGCCGAACTCCAGGAATTACTGGTTATTTTGAGAATGAGTGTGCTATTTGACATAGCAATTAATCTGGATATCAAATATAAACCTTAAATATTTGCCGTTGTATACGTAGAGAGCTCTGAATTTAATGAAATGGGCGAGCGAAAGTCTAACAAATTTGCCATATTTTTGGGTCCCACCAGATGTGACTAATATATGAAATTGTAGAGTGTGTTGAGATAAAAAGTGCGATGTTGTGAAACATAAGTTGATGGATCAAGAAGAACGAAATCTACAGATTTGGATTCTACTGAAAGATAACACGTAGAATCTCAGCAAATAACACCGCATTGTGCGACATTAGAATAAGTACGGAGTGTTCTCTCGCTATGCTAGATGACCATGGGCCTAAACTAAATATGCTCGTCTAGGTCCACTATTTAATAAACGTGCATTTGGAGAATGGGTTTCCTGTGGAATTATCACATAGGTGTCTTGAATACAGCAGCGTATAATGCAACGATAATCTTATTTTTGAAACGTCGTTTGTGTCATTTAAGAAATTAACTTAGATTTCAATTATTTTGTACTACGCATGCTAAATTACCGTAAAAGTACAAGTGCGAAACGAAATCTTCTTGATCAATTTATCTAAGATGGTCCGTAAAAATGGGGGCGTAATAGAACGTGACTATCTCTTGCATCGGGATATGCAATACTGATGGAAGCACGTTCGACATTTTTGCAACAATAAAAATGACAGACGACATTTTCAGCAGCTTCAAAAATTCATTAGACACGCATTTTGTCAGACAGATGTATAAAACGTTTTTGTCGTCCTGTAGTATGCTCGTTATTTTGCTTTCCACCTTGACATATAAGCAGACTAAGCCATCGTCGTAAATGCGATTAAGTGATCAGTCCGAAATAAGATTTGTTGATGAGACTACCATCTAACTTGCAACAAAACAAATTCCATAGCTAAGAGCGTGTGTAAATATCTGATGCGCAGAAATCCCAGGAACATATGTCAGAACAAAAAGTCACCTTCTGACGTTATCTGATTTCCTTAGTGCATGTCATCGCCAAAACGGAGCGTATAACGCCAAAGAGATTCCCGCTGCCCCAGAAAATCTCAATACGGGTATTTTTGACTTACAAACTGAAAAATCGACTTGAGCGATCTGCGGAGCTTTTAATCCATTTTTGTCTTTTAGGTTAATGCTTGCTAATAAGGGGTTCGTATGGGCATTTGGTTGGTCTGCAGTAGTCACTAGACTATAAAACTGTCAGACTGCAATACGATTCCGACTTTATTCGAAGCATGTCTTGTTTTGCCAAAAGAGTAAACTGCATGTTATCTGCGAACATGCTTTTTTCAGCGCGACATGGCAACCAGTCAAACAAACATTGCATGACGTCGTCCTGCATTAGCAAGGCCACTCATACATGCTGGCCGTTTGACAATTATGTTGGACTCTCTTTGTCATTAGAGGAATAAGTCGACGCACTTTAGTTGGTCATGCCCGAGCTAAAAAGCATGGAAATGTGGGCGTGCCGAGGTGAGGAACAGTTGTTTGTCATAATTACGTCATAATACCATTCGTCATATAGCGATGTATCTTGGTATACGCCTCAAAACATGCAGATTCAGAGCTTTAAAACAAATTGGAGTAATTCATACTGACATAACTGAGAAAAAGTCGACGTCTTGAAGTCAAACCCACGACAAAAAGGGTAGGTTTTAGTACAGCCACACCACTAGCCACTCGAGGTACGAGGCCACAACGGCAGTTTCGTTTTTTTCGCCTTCCGCGTTTTCGATGTTAATAATGATAAAATGCGGATGACATGACCGAGAACAAATTAATAGCACAAACCAAGTGTACAACTGCGGTCGTTAGAAATGTGAGAAATGGGCCAATGTTATCATTGTAAGCGCCGATTTTCTGGTGTCATTAAAGCAAATGGTGGCTGCAGAGAAGCACTGAAGTGAATAGCAGAGACGGCCTTGCACAAGATCTCAGATGGTTCCCAAAAATGCCTACAATTCAAATATTCGTAAATAGTGCAAATTTACCTGCCATGTCCTGTATTAAAATCCCACCTTTTGTGGAAGAACCGCGGGAGAAACCAGGAAAAGATTGCTCTTTGGAAAATCTGTACTTTCACGGTTTCGGACAAAGATGAAAAGCAGATCATCTGAAGTCTTTGTAGTCGACTTGACGTAGGTGGCCATTTGCTCTTGCCCTATAGGTTAAAACAGAATAGAAAGAGCTGACCGCGAAAAGCATCCTTTTGGCTGGAGAGGAGATGAGGTAATGGGGTTACGTTTAGTAAAACCTGTCGTTCCAATGACTTCTTGGACCTTGCTTTAAATCGACGGCCAAGTTTTCAGCTCACATGGAATTCTTTTTATCAAGATATGAAGTAGGGAGATTGATCAAATTAGTGTAAAAACGGAACGGAGCAAGCTACGAAGCAAAAAAGTGTAGGATGGGTAATAAAACTCTGTGTATTATAGTAGAGGAGTCACTACGCGAAGTCTTGGACCGAAAGGCAATTCAAAGTAGAAAACACCAACGCAACTGAAGCTTTCAAACACATAAAATAGAAGTGCGCTAACTAGGGTTACTTGACATAATTCAAAAGGCACGTATAGCAGGCTCCTAATTCTTACTTTAAGTCTCAGCCTAAACTCCCTTCCACCTGACTTTAACCTCAGTCCATAGCCCTACACTTAAACTTGATCCGATTGGGATGGAAAGACTGCTTCCACTGTGTTTTTCCAAATATGTACTTTTATTGCATAACGAATGAGTTTTCGAGCCATGCAGGTCAGACAAGTGGAATCTCACGAACTTCAATGGCTTATTGTAGTTTAACCAGATGACTATAGTATTAACATTCTGGAAGACCGGTCGCGTTGTGCCAGAATTTTCAGTGATATGATTTGCGGCATCTTGAAACTCATGGCGTACTCATAAATTTCATGTTGTTGTGAAATCGATAGCATATTAGAGCTCGCGCTGAGTTTGAACTCTGGGAGACCGCCAAGATTTTCACGACGGAATTCGAAGGTTCGTGAATTAAACCAATTAATGTAACTTAGGCCAAGGTTCTCGACGGATAACCATTCAAACACTGGGTGCTTTTGACAGATTGCTAAGTCAAAGTGCACGTCACTACAAAAGGAACTAAAATGCGGATTGTTGGTCACAGCCTCATCTGCAAAATGAGAAGACTTACCTGACTTAGTACTTTTATGGCATAAAAAACGCATACCACTGTATATTAATAAGTACTTTTCGAGAGCTTGTGTTCTTGAGGACATTGAATCCTGTTTGTTGAGGAAGGTCGCTAACAGTCAGGTGCCCCTACGTTACCGAGGTGATCCACCACATACCCCAGAAAAGGATGGGCCAGTGATAGTGGTTTGCTTTTACGTTAGGATATAGGGATTGCAAAATCACGCTGCATCTGAAACACTCCTCCTCACCCACCTGGTTCTAATGTCAAAGAAGAGTTAAGAAAACCGATGGCGGTAGAGGACACAGGTGGCTGACACGGTGAAAACCAGTACCCAGGCGTACCATCACACCCTCTGGTTCGAAGAGTACTCTGGCTAGGATTTTACACAAAAAGTGAGTGGTTTTGACTTGCACCCAGCCATGTCCCCACGCCCTTAACTTTGACATTTGTTGTGAAAGTGCAATTTCAAAAACGCTTCTCTGACCTCGATCATGTCCCTTGTTGGACCACCGCACCTATCTCTCTCGGCTGTTTAAAAAAACAATAAAGCAGATGGCCACACAGAAGGCGACAACTGGTGAAATTTAACTACTATTCTGTTCTATTGGTCTGCTCACTGCTTCGATTCAGCAATAAGGTGACAGAGTGCCTAAAATAGTTGGATCGTCAAGACGAAAACGCCACCAAAAAGACACAGTAATGTAAGCTGCGGAACGTATCTGCTCTACCGGCCTGACCTTCGGCTGGTGGAAGCACTTGCAAAAATATTTCAGGAAAAGCGGCGGCAAGGCCAAGTTCTCGGGGTTCAAAGACGCAACAATCGCCTATCCCTACATGCTGAACGTGTTGTAAACTCTTTGTTCCAAAGAGCGAATTATTTTCACAGTGATAAACTAGAATTCATATTTAGGGGGGGCGTCATATACGCCTTCCATTGCATTTTATAAAGTCCGTTTGAGAAATGAAATTGGTGACGTTGTAATTCGAGAGTCCACCGCTGCACAATCCTCCACTTTTTCGCATGTCTTCTGTCTCCAGAGTGTTCTGCTTAAAGAAGTGCCAAAGTGATGCTTTGACGTACATTTCAGAAAGCGGAGATGCGATCATTGAAACAAGAAATTTATTGGCCTGACGTTTCAGATTCTCACTCGAATCCATCATCAGAGGCATTCGATGACTGCCAGGTCATCGACTGACAGGTCCTCCGGGATAGAAGTGAAAACGGACGTGACATCTAAGGAAACCATGACATCGCTTGACAGGAGACTTGCTCCTTTAAGTTTCTCCAAGAATTGCGTTGACGAGCTGACTGTGTGGCCCGAATCGGAGGTCAGAAAATTGAGAGCCTGAAACAGCCACTTTGCCAGTTCGTAGGTTGCAGTACCCCTAAGCGACACGATAGGCCGGAGAGGAGCGCCCTCTTTGTGTACTTTTGGAAGACCGGAAAATCGGGCTGGGCCCGTTTCTTGTGCTCTCGCCATGCACCCGATTTCTCCATTGCTAACAGTGTCGCGTTAATCTCGCGTGTCAGCGTTTTTATGGAGTTGGATTCGCATGGGACATAGGACTGACGATCCTCCAACAAGCTTTTGGCTTTTTGATTGTAGTCTGTCCTGTCCAATACGACCGTTAAACGTCCCTTGTCCGCAGGCAGGATAACGAGGTCGTTGTCGGTCCTGAGTTCCTTAAGTGCATCGCGCTCGACCTTGGAAAGCACGTCGGGCGGCCTATGAGCCATGAGGAGGGAGAACACTTGGAGTCAAATGAGGTTCTTGGTTTCATCTGTCGCTCCGGTGTGGCTGAGGATTGATTCCACTGCTGCAATCATGTTGGCAGGTTTGACATCTGCTGTGTCGAATGAGGCCTAATGCCCTAAAACCTGCATTTGTTCCTCCCTCAACTCATTCGACGACAAGTTGTGCACCAGTTTGTCGTTCGTGGGTGAAATTGGAGCAGGCAGCTTACGAAATTTGCTCTCTAGGGATGCTTCGCGTGTTGCCTTATGTTCGCGGGTTCGTTCGGCCAGCCTCTGCCGTCCTCACCCATGAAATCGCAGCACCTTGCTTTCTCTTTGTCAATCCTCTGACGGAATTTGCGAGTCTTGAAGGAGCACTCGGATCATTCGTCGGCCGTGTTGCAGTACTGCGCGTCTCGCCAGCTCTGTGTTGACCGGAAGTTTGTATGAAACACACTTCGGCAGCACATTGTTGTCGAAACACCTGTGCAGAGATCGAGTCTGCGAATATGTAGACGACTCTCGAAGGGCAAAGGTTTCCCACCGTCGAGCAGATCGAAGCGCTTCGAGCCCAAAAACATTGCTGATTAACGTAGACTGTCAACTGTTATTGCCAGTCAGTCAACAGTCTTGCAACCGATCACCAATGCAGTCTATTCGCCCAATTAGGCTAGCATTAGTTCGAACTTATGGCGGTCAACAGTTGACCTAAACGCGATCAAGTCGGATATAGTCAGCAAACAAGTGGGACTCTCATTTAAAGGTACCCAGTTCATCAAACTCAGAGATTACTTGTTATTGAGATTAATTAATCCAGATTGTTCTCTTACTGCGCTAAACGCGAATGAATCAAAGACAATGTGTTTGTCCATCTCCCCTCCTTGACTAATGCATAATTGGATTGTGAGTTTTTGGAGGAGGAGTCCTAGAGTTTTGATTATAGTCAATAGCTTTTGTCGCAAGTAAAATCCAACTTTAACAACACCACTCTTATCATTTAGATAAGTAATCGGGATGCCCAAATATGTCTTAATTCGCGGCCGCGAATCCCCGCCAAACGAAAGCACGGACTGAATGACAATTTTTATGCCCTCATCTGTATGAAGGCAAAATTTCGAGTTCCAGGTGTGTGCATAAGTGTGGTTGTAAGCGTAGTCAACTCCAGTCGTGCGACGTCGGTCGATGATTGGGCCAACGTGCCGTAAAACTGCCGCTTGTCCTGTATGTGTCACTACCTCTGACGATGGACTCCTGTACGAGTCTGAAAGCTCAGGATAATAAACGACGTGTTCCAGTGCTCGACGCTTCTCCTCATCTGTATTTTAGACTAGCACTTCAATAATCGTAGTGTTATACAAATAATGAGACGGCTTTATCGAACAGTAATGTTTCAGGTGATTTATACAATAAGGTCAATTATGCAGTAAAATATTACTGATTCGTCCCATTTGAATTTGGTGTGCATTAATCAGGTTAAGTCGTCTTTACTTCAGTATGAGAATATTTTATTTATAAACATTGGGATAGTACTAGAACGTGAGTAATTCATAAATCAAGATATGCAATACTAAAAAGAAGCAGGTTCTTCACTTTTGCAATAGGAACCATGATGGACAGCATTTTTAGCAACTGCGTGCTCATCCACATTTTAGACGTTCGATATAAAACACCTTGTCAGATAAATGTGCAAAAAGTGTTTTGTCCTCTCTGAGCGCACCTGAGTGTTCCCTCTTGGCTCTGACAAGAAAAAAACTAATCCAAAGTTCTTCTTGTGGCTAAATGATCAGTCTGGATTAAAACTTTGCTCCATGCGACTGCCATGCAGCTTGACGATAAACACGTGGGGTAACCAACAGCATGCATAATTATCTGATGTTTAGAAAACACAAACACATGTGGTAAGACAAAAAACGAACTTCCGAATTTATTTCGTTGCATTAGTACGCGTAATCGCCTAAAGTGCTTCGGTTGCCAAAAAATTCAAATAAAGTTGTTTTGGTTTTATGTACGGAAGAATAAAATATATTCTCAAATGCTTTTCCTAACTGAGTTCATTTATAGTAATGCCTACAACCAATGGGTTGGCTGAGGGACGTACGTCTGTTCGGCAGTAGTTATGAAACTAGAAAGCTGGTAGATGGCAGATAGATACCGACTGTCTATGAAGCATGTCCCCTTTTTGCCAACAGAATAAATCACGTGTTGTCTGTGAAAATGCTTTTTTTCAGCGCGGCATGGCAACCGGCCAAACAAAGCTTGCATGATGTCGTCCTGCATGAGTGAGGCCACTCAAACTTGCTGGCTTTCTCGCTGTTAAGATGTGCTGTCTTTGTCATTAAAGGAGCCATATGATGCACTTTGATCGATCATGCGATAGCTGCTAAGCGTGGAAAAGTGGGCGTGCCGAGGCGAGTAACAGCTTCCTTTAGTCATAATTACGTCATGATGGTGTTCGTCTTATGGTAATGCACTTTGGTATGCGCCTCGAAAACATGCAGACTGAGGGCATTATAGCTAACTGTAACAATCTGAGAAACGCTTATTTTTCGTTTTTGCAATTTTTAATTTTTGCGTTGGCAATGACGAATTTCTAATTGCATGATCGATGAAAATTTATCGGCGTAAAATACAGGCAAATCTACTACCGTGGAAAATATGGCTGACAATTTTATATTACATACTGGATGAAGCGTTATCACTTTGGACGCCAATTCGCCGATGACCATGAAGCATGTGATGTCTCCCGAGCGAACAATACGTGAGATAGAGTAAATATATTATTTGATAGCTTAGTGCCTACAATGAAAATATCTGCATATAATAGGAGTGTACTCGCTATATTCTGTATTAAACTCCTGCCGTTCAAAAAGGTAAGTAAGATAATTCGCGTACGGATTGCTCTGCCGCTTATAACGGTACACTAATACGTGTGCATTGCTCACTTAACCTCTAGAGGAAACCGGGTTTTATGCTGTGCGGATGGTCGCCAATGGCCAGGTTAAACTAGGTTTCCGATGATGTCCATCATGTGCCACCAAGCGGAGTTCGCATAAGGACAATAATTTGTCTGTGATTTGGCCTATAGTGGCTTGCCCTGCATCTACAGTACTCCGTCCTCCTCCAACACCAAGGTTCGGTGTCAAAAAAGCGTCAAGAATGCCGGAGCCGTGGTTGGAAGCCGGTGGCCGGCACGGCGTAAACCCAAGTCTGGGCCTATCACAACACACACGGATCATAATTGCACACTAACAAAAGGGAATGGGCAACTAGGATCCCAACTACGTCATACATGATTGTCCATTCGCACCCGAGGCAAAAACCACAGCCGCCTATTATACGGGACCGGTGTTGATAGGATGTTTTATAGGTGGGGCCGGGGAATACACAGGCGACGAGGTCAAGTAATTGTATGCAAAAAATAGGTACTGAAAATGCGCGGTTGTACATTGAGTGGTTTAAAAATAGTTGTCCTGACCCCTAACCTTAATCCTTACCTCAAACTATAATTCCTAACCCTAGCCCTAACCCTAACTCCTAACTCTAATCCCAAAGCCTAGCCCATAGCAGGTGCGACGGTACAAGCACATCTTAACTACAACTGAACTGTAACACTACAAAGGCTACTGTAAGAGTATGCCACTGGATCTCGAATCTCTGTTCCAATACTAGGGCCGAGACATTCCTTCAGTCAGCCGGCTTTACTTTCCCGTTTTTTTAATATACCATGATAGATTTTAGCGGGGCAGGTCGTTTGCAAAGAAGAATTTGCATTGAGAGAGTCGGCCACAGTCTCTGTCCCCTCTCCTAAGCACCAGTCCACTGTCTTAAAGGGTCAGTCAACTGGCGAAGCGATTTGGCGTTGTTGTTACTGAATAATGCAAACACGCTAGGAGGGCGGTCACAGTGATGTAAACATACTGAGTAGTCCTGCTGGATATTTTGCTGCCTTGAAACAAACTGCAGCTGGTCGAATGAAATCCGCATAGAAGGGGTTATTTACGAGCATTTAGCAGTAAGTAGACATTGAAGATTCATGGAAATCAAGCTAAGAGCACCGAATGCACAGGGAGTCAACTTTTGTTAAAAAGCTTCTATTTGATTCCTAGTCAAGAAACGATACTGAAGTCGAAATATAGGAGACCTGTAGATCGTTTTTTCGCAAAGTGTAGCAGTTCTTCTTTTAGAAAATCTTTAGCTATGCACTCAGCACAAAGCTTTTTGTTAAAACGCCCCCGTCAGTGCAGTCGAGGGCTGTTAGACTAGACGCTGACAATGAGCATAAGTGGACGCAGTCTCTGAAGTAAGGATTTTATTTACCTCCGATCAAAGACATTAAATACACCAAAGTGTGGTATAGAAACTGTAAACTTTCCAGGCAAGGAAAATCACATGTAACGTTATGTCATTTGAAAAAATATAATGCTCGTAATATTAGACGATTGATATAGACTGTCATATACTTTATAGACAACATTGATAAGCGGGAAAATACTATGCAATGCAAATGGGCATTGTATTGTTTTAAAACTTTTCCTTTTAATAAACTTTTGTAAAACTGAAAGGCACTCATTCTTTGAATGCGAAATTTTAATGTACCGTGATTCCCTATTTAATTAGTCCAAGATAAAGTATGCTTGACCATATTTTCCGTGAAAGTTAATAGAAGGCAGCTATATTACAGAAAATAGTCATTTCATTACTAAGTGCGGTCTTTGTAGGCGGCAGAGTAGTAATGCG